GCTCCACATTCCCTCCTTCATCGCCGCTCATTAGGAAACTACCCAACTTTGAGTCGTCCACCTCCCTAAGTAATGGCCATAATTGTCTAAAGCGTGATCAAGGCACCAGACCAAAATGACGAGGCTGCTGTCTGTCAACTCTGAGAGATGTCTTCATTTTAAAAAGAGTTTCCAGATGTAATGCTATGTTGTTTTAGAGAAGCTGCTTCTCTAGAGAAGGTAGAAAGTGCAATAGAAAATGTAAAAACTATGCACATTATTGTAATAATATAACATTTTAAGTCTGTTTTACAGTGCAGTTACCAGGCAGGAGAGTGGCTTGAACCCGGGAGGCGGAGGTTGCACTGAGCCGAGATCATGCCATTGCACTCCAGCCTGGCAACAGAACTGAGAGTCTGTCTAAACAAAAACAAACAAACAAAAAACAAAAAAAGAAAGAAAGAAATTTAAATATGTGGAAAAATATAGAAAATATAGAGAATTCAGTCTGACAATATTTGACACATGAAAAAATACATAAAATATTCAAAAGAAAGAAAGCCGTTCAGTAGAGGAATAAATTTTTGGAAAGATGCTGTAAGATGGGAGATAGGAGGAAGTCAGATACTGCAGGGTTTTAATTTTGCTATGCTAAAATTTATTCAGATAGTTTTATTATTATGCTGATTTTTAGAGCTCCAGCAATTAGCTATGAGTCCTGGTCAACACAAAGTCTCTAGAAGCGTTTTTAGGTGAACATATAATGAGTTGTATGAGATTGAGGTGCTGTTGACCATTCCAGTGAAACTTTCTTCCCAGACAGACACTAATAAACATTCCAGTGTGGAATTCTGGTATGATTTCAATTTAAAGTCCTGCGCAGAAAGTTGCTGGTTTCAGTCACAGAAATGTTTGAGTTTACTGCAGGAAAGAGCAGAAACCAGCAAAGGAAGTTTAGAAATGATTTACAGGAAGAAGAAGAAAATCCCGAGTGTAGACATAGAAGCCACAAAGATGTTGAAAGTTTATGGACATGTGAAACCCCATCTCTACTAACAATACAAAATTAACCAGGCTTGGTGGCGGTAGCCTGTAATCCCAGCTACTTGGGAGGCTGAGGCAGGAGAATTGCTTAAAACTGAGAGGCAGAGGTTGCATTGAGCCAAGATCATGCGATTGCACTCCAACCTGGATGACAAAGCAAGACTCCATCTCAATTTAAAAAAAATTATGCAGTAATTGGGTAATATTTGTATGATAATTTTATGATTAAACAATATTGAATAACGTGTATCATAATTCCCTTTCTTAAAAATTCTCAATACACTTCAGTTTTGAGAAAGTCCAAGTTAAATGACCAGGTTAGCTTATGGTTGCCAAATGAATTTGGTCATGAGAATATTCTCCAGCACCTAATACAGTATCAACATCTTCCTGTAAATATCTGAAGTATCTGAGAAACAGTGTTTTGGGAAGTGCTGGCATAGTCAATTAAGTGCAGTACCACAGATGATTTTTGTTTTGCAAACTAACCAGCATCTGGCATTATCATTTTCATTCTCTCAATGGGACCTTCTGATATTATCTTGGTTTAGCCTGAAATCATCATTTAGGGTACCAAAGTCAATAAACTTGATTACATTTTTTCATCATATTCTTTTTTTTTTTTTTTTTTTTTAATCTCTGGTAACTGCACTGTAAAACAGACTTAAAATGTTATATTATTACCAATAATGTGACATAGTTTTTACATTTCTATTGCATTTCTACTTCTAGAGAAGCAGTTCTCTAAACAACATAGCATTACATCTTGAAACTCTTTTAAAATGAAGACATCTCTAGTGACAGAAGCACCTCTCATTTGTTGGGTGCTTGATCAGCTTAGACATTATGAGCCATTAATTAGGAGGTGGAGTGCTCAAAGTTGGGTAGGTTTCCTATGAGGGGATGAAGGAGTGAATGTGGAGATGGGAAATGCTTCCGAGTGTTTAGGTCTTAGTGAGGCACCAAGGAGAAGACTCCCAGACACTCAAGGAGGCTGAAGTCTCTGGGGCAAGAGTGGGAGGGCCAGCCGTGGAGAATGGCCTCAAAGGGGTAGTAGAGAAGGAGAGAATAAAAACCATCCAGCACTTTTCTAGTGTTGCCTGGAGCCCACAATCACGAATTCTCTGTATCCACTGTTTCTTTCAGTACTTGGAGGAAGAGTACCGCAAAGGAGCCAGGGAAGATGACCCCATGCCTCCCGTGCAGCCCTATCACTATGGCTCCCACTATTCCAACAGCGGGACTGTGCTTCACTTCCTGGTCAGGATGCCTCCTTTCACTAAAATGTTTTTAGCCTATCAAGGTAAGAATTTTTTTAATAACTGCGTAGAAATCATGTTGAGTCATCAGGAAGAAAAAAAACAAAAAAGAAACAAAAAAAAACTTAGGACTGACTTTCTAAGAACTATTGAGACTAATCAAACTACAGGAAAAAGAATTCTATTTATTCCTTCCCCAAAATTCTCCTCAAAAAAGCTGTAGTAAGCCAAATCATCTTGCTAATGCCTCAAATTTTAGCTTCAAATTAAATGTCTAAGTTTATAAAAATGCAATTCACTTTTTAAAAATTAAGATATAATTCACAAACCATGAAATTCACCCTTTTAAAGTTTATGCAGTTCACTTTTTAAAGACATTCTACCTAATACCTATTTCAAATCCAGTAAGTTACCTTTGGAGCCTATGTACATTATTGTAGTTTATTATAAAGGCAAGTACCTTATTGAGGTTTATTCTAACTAACTAGTTAATAAAAGAGGCACACCGGCAACTTCACTGTGGTAGCTTTCTAGTTAATAATCTTCTACCTCAGCATTTTAAGTGACAGACTGGAGGCCTGAACATGACTTAGATAAGAGTGAATTTATATTTTTATGCAAGTTGGGACACACTCACCTGTAGTTTCTAATGAGAACTGTGATATTAGTTCTATAGCTCTTTCTCGTGGAATCCAGAATACTTTGAGGAATCATTATCCATTCTTTTACTCAACCATTCTTGAACTACTTCATGCCTTTTGCTCATGTACAACCTATTGGAGGAATGAATTTGTATTCACTCTTATTGGTCTACAGAAGGGGCTTTCCTATGTTTGTCTCTCTGTAAGTAAACAGAACAAATGTTCTATATGACAGCTGTTCAAATATTTGAAAATTGTTGGCCTGTCCCCTTTCTCTCTCTGTCTTGTTTTTCCCCTGGCTAATTATCCTTGGTTAATTTGACAGCAGATTGAGGGCCTCATGGATGCATGGTCCTATCCCAGCTGCTGCAAGGAATACCAAAAAATAAATAGGACAGTTTTGTACTAAATAAGGTGTTTTTAAAACCAGTGTTTAAGCCATCTTGTTTGCTGTGGTTTCCAAGCCTGTCGCTATTCTGAAGATCTTTCTGGACATGTTCTGATTTGTGAATGCTCTTGACGAAAAGAAAAAGGCAGTCAAAATAAAAAAGAATAATTCAGATGTGCTTGCGCCCCTACAGTGTTTAACAGAACTGTTACCTCCCTCCATCCAAGACTACATTTCATTTAATGTAGCCCAAGAATCCATTAATATAAAACTACCAATCAACTAAAATTTATCAATATTTTTATTCATGTTACTATTATGGATGTATTCATATATAATATGTTTTCTTCATTATGTATTTATGAATATATTTTGTTTAAAACCTAGGACTACCTCAGTCTCCATTCACTTTCATCTTATTAGTTTCAAGTGATATCTCTCGGCTTTTGAATTTATTTCTTTGCTTTGGTTTAGTACAGGGATTCTCCACCTTGGCACTGTAGTCATTTCGAGCTGCATAATTTATTTGTCATGGGAGCTGCTCTGTGCATTGTAGGACATTTAGCAGTACCCCTAGTATCTCCCTACTAGTGCCAGTGGTACCACCACTGCCCACACCCCATCCCCCCAGTTGTGAGAATCAGAAATGTTGTCAGACATTGCCAAATAAACCCTGGAGGGCAAAAGTGCTACTGGTTGAGAACCACAGATTTAATATATGCATATTCTAGATAATAGGAATTTGTAGTAGTACTGTTTAATAAAATGTAGGAAAATACAGAGAATCTTAAAATCTGAACAGAACCTACCCAATGTGCTTCTCTTGTTCCATATTTCTTTAGTCTTAACTCTAGATGCTTTGACCTCACCATAGCATTACAAAATTACCTTAATTTTTCTGTTTAGTTTTTTTGTTTGTTTTTGAGAATTACCTTAATTTTTCTGAATTCCATTTTGATTGATAACTTTTTCTACAGAGTTAGTAGGTATTTCTTTAAATGGCCTTCCTTACTTTCTGAGAAAAAGTAAATGTTCCTAAACCTTATTTCTTCCCAGATTTTATTTAGTGGCCAGCCAATGCCAACTGACTCAACAGAATAGATGAGAAAGTAATACAAGTGGCAGAAGATGTTGCTCAGCAGAGCAACTAAGAAACCCGATGCTGCGATGTGTTTGTGGCAGTCTCCAAATGAAAAGATGTGTTCAAATTTCAGCACGTTCACAGACGTTTTAGATGATGCAATATGGTTCCTAAGAAACATGTAAACTGCTACTGTTTTCAGGGGCCAGCTTTTGGATATCATTTAATATTCTAGGCCTTTCTCTATGGCTAGAAAGTCTGATCATTGTTGGCAGAAAAGAGAGTCCAAAGTTAATTCTTGATTATTAATAGTCTACCCTGGGGAAAAAAAATGAACAAAAGAGTGACTATGCTTAGTTTTATTTTCATTCATAGGAAAGTTTACTCAATTCTTTAGCTCAGAGTTAGAACACCCAAAAAACAATGCACCGTAACATACGCCAACCCCCGCCCCCTACTAGGAAAAAAAATAAAGAAAACAAAGAAAGGAGAAAAAGTAGTCTTAACAATTCAAAGTGAAGGAATCATTTTGCTCCCTGATGGGGAAAAAACTGTTTATCTACTTGAACTTCAATTTTCCTTCTTCATTATTCATTCCTTCAATAAACCAACCATTATTGAGTACCCATTATGTGCAAGGTGTGGATGATATCCCAGGGCCCTGTTTTTGTGGAACTTTCATTCTACTTTGATAGATAGATGATAGTTCAACAAATAAATGGTATAAACTAATCTAATTATATGTATTACAAAAGCATAGAACAGATGAAAAATATAATATCTCAAGTTTATAGAAATATTTATTTTCAAGAACATGAATAACTTCTTTTAAACTATGGGCAAACAAACTGAGCATTATTTTAATCTTTTTGAAGTAGCAAAAGTAAATTAATTATGGTAGGCCTCAAATAGAATTAGGTCTTTGTGTCTTAATTTTATTATTTGTATTTTTTCATAGATCAAAGTTTTGACATTCCAGACAGAACTTTTCATTCTACAAATACAACTTGGCGACTCTCATCTTTTGAATCTATGACTGACGTGAAAGAACTTATTCCAGAGTTCTTCTATCTTCCAGAGTTCCTAGTTAACCGTGAAGGTATAGCAATAAATTATTTCTTATTTATATTTCTGAGGGCTTGTGGTTATTTTGTAATTTTCCAAAAATGAAAATAGCTTTTTTAAGTCCTAAAAATTTGAGTCCCCAAATAAGAGAAAATGTTTTTTATTAAGTATATAATTCTATTTTCAAATAAGCTTGAGAATTTTAAGTATTTTATAGGATTAAGTATGTTTGGAAAACTGTAACTTTTAACTATTAAAATTATTTGTAAATATGTATTTTTATTTTATTATAGAAATTACTTTATTCTTTTTTCTGAATACAAAAGTTATAATGTGCTAATTACTTTAAAATTAAGAGGTATGACTTTATTGAAAGCAAAATGTAAATTAACTGAAATCTCAATTATTTTATGAGGAATGACCAAAATAAAAATAAAATACTCTGCCCAGAATTATCTAATAGCCAAAAGGAATACTGAAGTATAAAATTAAATTTTCTATGATGCCAACCAACAGTCTTGGCTGCCAACCTTAGCTATTCTTAAATAGAAGAGCAGCTAACCCTTTAAGGGATGTCTTTGGGTCATTTCTTACATTACTTAATTCTGTAATTTTATGTGATCGTTAAGAGCATATGAAACTGAGCTTTAAGAAGTTGGTGTTGGGCAAATTATGTTAGAATTTTGTTGTATAGTACCAGTGTCTCTGAAGTTGTTTGATTGATTATTGAATCATCCGTAGATTCATGCCACCCTGGCACTTGTTTCACAGTGTTGCTCAAGTGAGAAATGCCTCAGTCAAACATCAGCACCTGCAATTTGGGGTGCCGGCCTTGAGGCTTTTCATTTAGGACTCCTGTTTAAATCTACTCCTTGTTTTTTCTGTCCATGGTCTCTTATATGTATGTTTTAGCTATCTATGGCTGTATAACAAATAATCTCAACACTTAGTGGCTTGAAACAATAATAAATTTATTATCAATCATGGATAATAAAATTATTTTTTATTGGTCAGAAATTTAAAAAAAGGTCAGAAATTCAGAAACAGCTCAGCCAGGTGGTTTTAGCTCAGGGTCTCTCATGCTGTTGCCTTCAGATTTCTGGAGGTGGAACAGGCAGAGGATGAAGCCTTAGGTAGCTGGAGCACATCACCCTCTCTTCATGCAGTGTTAGTGCTTTTTCATGTGGTCTCTCTGTGTGGGCTAGTTTTGGGCTTCCCCACAGCACGGCAGCCCTGAATGTCCTACTTGGCAACTCAGGGTTCCAAAGACAAGTGTTCCAAGAGGGAGACGAACAGAGGCTGCATGGCCTTTTCCAGCCTGTTCTTAGCAGCCATGCAGCATCACTTCCACTGTATTCTTCCTATTCGTTGAGGCAGTCACAAGTGCCTTCCCAGATTCAAAAGAAAGGAAGATAGACTTTGCCTTGTGATGGAGAGTAGCAAGATTCTGGAAGGGCATGCAAGACAGGAAATGCTGTTATAGCCATTTTTGGAAAATACAATTTTCTACAGCGTATATCACATCATTTCCTATCAGTGTTCCTCTGGGACTCTCATGCGTCAGTTGTCTGCTTTGGATCAGGAGTGTCTGCCTCTGTGGCGTTCCCTCAGAACACCTGAAAGTTGGGAAAGCTTGAGTTTATACAAATACCCTGTTATGCACCCCATTCCCAGCCCATTCCCAGGTGCCTCATTCACTGTTAAATAAGTTCCTGCTGCTGCCTCTCCTGAAGCCACACACATGGAGTTCTGCAGGTGCTCAGCCAGTCCATCCTAAATCAACCGTGCAGCTCCTCCGTACGATGACTGCTGAGCTTTCTGAGATGCTCCCATCCCCATCCCATGTGAACTTATATACGCCCTTGATTTATATTCCATATCATATCATTTCAAAATACTTCCCAAGTATTTTGGTGAAGAGCCTTCTGTTTTTCCAAGATCAAAACTTAATTTTATATGAAGCTTAATCAGCTTTTAAAAGGTCCTTTTAAATTGGTATTATGTTGTGGTGTTCAGCAAACTAGAAAATGTAGCACAAAAAGCCATTTCTGTTTAAAGGTAACATTTCCTTTAGGATAATTTTTTTAAATAAGCGCTTCTGAGATTTTTGTTTATACTAGCAGACTGATGAGACAATTAGATATTAGCTCATTTACGTCACAGAAGAACCCTCTTATTTCCTGTGTTGGGGTAATTTTGTTATCTACAGGAATGCTTAGTAGAAAGGAAGTCAGAACAGACCTATAGACTTATAAAATTAATAGACTGTAGCAATTCATTCTAAGAATGTATATACTTTATATTAGTTGAGTTTTTAAACTATAGAATACTAATATATTTAGTAAATATTTACTAAATATAATCTTAAATTTATTAAAATGTTAATGCCAATAGTTCAGAAATGCTTCTACAAAGCCTTAGTTTGATTCTAATCAGGTTTACAATTGAATAGATATTTAAGTACTTAATGCCCTTGAAGAAATGAATAGTGAGAATATTGGAATTAGTAGGCAATGGTTTTCTCCTTTTCTTCAATATGTTATAAAGTGGTAGAAAGATAAAGTTGAAAGATCTCAAATTTAATTATGATAGCATTAGCTCACATAACCCTATTAGTAGGTAAATAAGTAGATGAGCAGTGGTGTTTCTTATTTAAAATGTAAATCCTCCTTCCTATTCCCTTTTTTGGTTGTAGCACACAAACAGCCATTTTTGTGAACTCTTAAGAACTGCTCTGTGACTGAATGAAACCTGCTTTGGGGAAGTTGAATATTAACATTAATCTTCTCTTTTAGGTTTTGATTTTGGTGTGCGTCAGAATGGTGAACGGGTTAATCACGTCAACCTTCCGCCTTGGGCACGTAATGATCCTCGTCTTTTTATCCTCATCCATCGGCAGGCTCTAGAGTCTGACTGCGTGTCCCAGAACATCTGTCAGTGGATTGACTTGGTGTTTGGTTATAAGCAAAAGGGGAAGGCTTCTGTTCAAGCAATCAATGTTTTTCATCCTGCTGTAAGTGACTCTTTTAAAATAATCTGTATTTATATAAGATAGAACCTGAATATTTTAAGGTTAGTTGTTCGACTGTTCCTTTAAAACACCCAAGTTACCAAAGAGAATTGGTAGTAGCATTAAACCATCACCTAAGATTTTTCAGGTTTTATATTTCCTCTCATTAAAAACAAGATACTATCTTTTTCAGAGGTTCCCCAAAACCATCCCCAGGTTTGATGATTCACTAGGTGGATTTGAGGATTCAGCATATAGTCATCCTTCTAGTTCAGGTTTATTACAGTAAATGATACAAAGTAGAATCAGCGTGGGGCAAAGTCTGGGAGAAATCAGGCACAAACATCCAAGAATCTACCCCTGGTAAAGCACAAAGAGCGTACTCAACCTCCTCCAGCAACGAGTCATAATGACACATGTGATATGTTGTCTGCCAGGGAATCTCATTAGAGACTCAGTGTACAAGATTTTTATTGAGGTTGGCAATGTAGGCACCTTCTGCCTCGCACATACTGAAATTCCAGCCTCTCAGAAGGAAAGCAGTTGTTCTGTATAAACCGTGTTGTTTGTACAGTTTAGGCACAGTAAGTCACTCTTACCAATTAGGGAATGGTAGGACCTCTCCTGAAATTCGAGTTTCAGACAACAGCCAAGGGCCAACTTTGCAAGCAGGCCTTTCCAGAGATAGCAGTCAATCTTGCTATGTTAACTCTTTTCTGCACACTATCCGACATACATAGTCTACTTTAAAATGGCACCATGTTTTCTTATTACAGAAAAAGTACTTGTACTTTGTTAGAAAAATGTATAAAATACAGACTAGCAACAGGGAGAAATTTTAAAGTCCACTTTAATATCACCATCCAGAGATAAATAGTAAAAGCACCTTTAGACTTCTTTCTATAGATATGTATCATTCCATTTATATAATAATAATATTAGTGCTATTTGGTAACCTTTTCTTCTCCCTAAATAAGATAATCTTAAATTTATTCAAGTCATTAGGTATCATTCTACATTATTTTTAATGGCTTCTTAGTATAGGTAGAGTGTTCTTAATCCAAAAATCCAGAATTCAAAATGCTTCAAAATCAGAAACTTTTCAAGTGCCAACATGATAATCAAAGGAAATGCTCATTGGACCATATCAGATTTCCGATTTTTGGATTAAGAATACTGAACTGCTAAGTAAATAATGCTAATATTCCAAAATCCCCCCCCCCAAAAAACCCTGAAATCCAAAACAATTCTGGTTCCAAATGTTTGTTTGTATAAGGGATACTCAACATATATTCTCAAGTATAGCTATAGAATAATTTATTTAGCAGTCTTCTATTGTTGGATATTTAGTTAGGATTTGTTTGCTATTAAAATTAGTATTTCTATGGTTATTTTTAGGTACATCTTTACTTCCTAAGATAAATTCCTAGAAGTAGAATTGTTACATTTTTATTTTTTATTTATTTATTTATTTTTGAGATGGAATCTTGCTCTGTCACCCAGGCTAGAGTGCGGCGGTGGTGTGATCTCAGCTCACTGCAACCTCTGCCTCTCAGGTTCAAGCAATTCTCCTGCCTCAGCCTCACAAGTGGTTGGGATTACAGGCGCCCACCACCACGCCTGGCTAATTTTTGTATTTTTAGTGAGACAGGGTTTCACCATCTTGGCCAGGCTGACCTCGTGATTCACCACCTCGGCCTCTCAAAGTGCTGAGATTACAGGCGTGAGCCACCACGCCCGGCCTACATTTTCAAGTATACTTTTTGAGGTTGTTGGGTAGACTAACTTTAGAAAAAATAATCTTACCTCTTCAGGAAACATTTATTTTGCTAGGCTCTGGGGATGCAAAAGTAAATAAGACTCAAAGAGGGTGAAGGGGGTTAGGAGGAAAGCCAACTTTCCTTTCCAAGGTAGATGGGCCTGCCTGGATGTAGTGGAGACTCCAAATGCGGCCGCTGAAAGGAAATCCCTTGAGGAGTGGGAGGTGAAAAAGCAGATTCTGAAAAGAAAGATACTTCCTTTCAAAAGGAAATATCTAAAGGACCTCCCCACTAACTGTAATTTTCTGTGTTGATTGTAACAAATCTACAAGAGTTTATAACAAATATAGGTAAAATGCATACACAGAACCTATAGTAGACCACTCCGTATCTGAGCTTTTTTAGGCCAGTAGTCCATTCCCCGAAAGTAGCTTTAAAATAAAAAGCTCATTAGTTTATTTTGTTCCATAATTATTTTGAGTACATCCGAAGTCATGTAAAATTAAATTTCTTAAGAGATTTATAATCTAGAAAAGAGAATAATATAGGTTTCCTGATTATTCTAATAGAAGATAAATGCTATGGAAAAGTTCATTCTAAAAAAAGAGAATAATGTAGTTTGGTGAATAACAACTTCACATATAATATTAATATATAAGGGAGGAAAAACACCTCCTTTTCCTCAGGTTAACTGGAGTCTCTGCAAAATAACAAAAACAAAGAGAAACAAAAAACCAGATTAACAAGAGCAAATCATATAAATTTATTTAATGCAAGTTTTATGTGGCACGGGAAGCTTCACATGGAAATAAGACCCCAAGTAGTCTTTGGAATTTTATTTTGGCATTTATAGAAATGTTATGTCTAGATATGTAATGAAAGCCACTACGACTGATTAAATATTATACTAAAAGCTAAGCCATCCAAGTGGATATGTACGAAATATAGCTGATCTATACTCAATTACTGATCACCAGCTTTAGAAATAAAGAAGTAAATGCACATTGCTTTCCATCTGACTCTACAGGATAATGACACTAAGAAATAATATTCTTCCTGGCCAGGCGCGGTGGCTCGTGCCTGTAATCCCAGCACTTTGGGAGGCCGAGGCGGGTGGATTGCCTAAGGTCAGGAGTTCGAGACCAGCCTGGCTAACATGGTGATACCCCATCTTTACTAAAAATACAAAAAAATTAGCTGGGCGTGGTGGCACACGCCTGTAGTCCCAGCTACTCGGGAGACTGAGGCAGAAGAACCACTTCAACCCAGGAGGCGGAGGTTGCAGTGAGCCAAGATCGTGCCATTGCACTCCAGCCTGGGCGACAGAGTGAGACTCCATCTCAAACAAATAAATAAATAAGAAAAAATATCCTTCTTAGTGCAATAATTTTATTAGTACAATAATACCCTTTACATTTAAGAGCTTTGAATTTTCATTGCTGCTCTTTTGGTTTTATCTACAGTATTTATTAGAACCTAAATAATGCTCTCTTTATCTACCAGCATTGTATTTTAACTTCATTTTTGCCTCTTCCTATATATTGCTTTGGACAAGCAACTTCTCCAGTAATTTAATATCAAGTCTTATATGATATTCTCAGGTCTTAAATTAAAAACTGATTTTATAAACATACCTAATTATAACCAGTCAAGATACATTGTTTTTGTTCACCTATTCAGAAACATTGATACTTCTGATCTCAGTGAGACCATGCGTGATTGTTAACCTGAACAAAAGCATTTTTTCCATAACCTAGAATATAAAACAAAGTGTTGTTTTTCCCTTTGGTGTTATATTCTTGCCAAGTCTTTCTTTTTACTACATATGTCTTGTTCCTTTATTCTTTCACTCTGCAGACATATTTTGGAATGGATGTCTCTGCAGTTGAAGATCCGGTTCAGAGAAGAGCGCTAGAAACCATGATAAAAACCTATGGGCAGACTCCCCGTCAGCTGTTCCACACAGCCCATGTGAGCAGACCTGGAGCCAAGCTCAATATTGAAGGAGAGCTTCCAGCTGCTGTGGGGTTGCTAGTGCAGTTTGCTTTCAGGGAGACCCGAGAACAAGTCAAAGAAATCACCTATCCGGTATGTCATTTGGATTTCAATTGAATGCAGATGATGCCAGGCACTCTCCCAGGTGCCAGGGATACAGTAATGAATAGCATGGTCCTGTCCTGAAGCTGTGTGCCAGTCAGTGCAAGACAGGTGCAGCAGCGAAAGCAGAATCCTGTGCGAGGTAAATGCTGTGTTAGCGATATGAGACAGTGCTTTGGGGAGCTCAGAGGAAAGAAGAATTGATTGTTTCAGACAGTAACCTCCCTCAGAAAGCAGAGAGAATGGTTATTCCCAGGGAAAGCCTCCCAGGGCAGTGACATAATAGGATTTTGCAAACAAGAAAAGAAGGACTAGAGAATAGTTTGAGCATTGGTATGCCAGTGTACACTTATCATCCACAATCAAAAGGATTGACCAGTGATGCGGATGTTTTGGTTTATACTTAAGGGGGAACTTTACATATTTCTTTGGCCTCCCCAGGTTGTAATGATAAATAGTACTGCGTCCAAAAATAGGAAGTAGGTATAATTTTTACTTCAAAATAGAAAAATCAAGCAAGCAAGCCTCAAAGCTAAAGTGGATTTTAATCTTCAACTAAATTCTTCATATAAAAACAGCATAAGATAGTAGAATGTGAATTGTAAACACTATAAGGGTTTGCAGAAGGAAATCACAGAAAATGAAAAGGTAAGGGAAAGAAGTTGTAAAGGACCTTAAAGATGAAATAACTCAGTGTCTCTCAAAGTGCAGTAATCTGTGACCTATTTTAAGAGGAAAAGGTTTTTACACACCTACACCTTGTTTGACTATTATTCCTTATAATAATATTACTTTATGTAAGACAGAACACTGGATATAAATTATTTGTGCTTATAGCTCACATGTGTCAAATGTTCATGTTAAATACAAACAAAACTTATTCCCCCAGTGAAATTCAATTTTAAAGCATTAATATGGTAGACAATGTTGTTTTGCTAAAACTAAATTGCGAGTGTTGAGTTTCATAATAGAAAACTACATTTTTTGTTTTCTGTTTTTGAAGCTTCACAAATCACTTTAGTCACTGTAATTACCAGCATCACTATTTTTAACCACGATCTGTCACTTGATTGATTGATCGATTGATTAAGACGAGTCTTGCTCTGTCACCCAGGCTGGAGTGCAGTGGCACAATCTCAGCTCACTGCAACCTCCGCCTCCCAGGTTCAAACAATTCTCCTGCCTCAGCCTCCTGAGTATCTGGGATTACAGGTGCCCGCCGCCACACCCAGCTAATTTTTGTAATTTTAGTAGAGATAGGGTTTCACCATATCGGCCAGGCTGGTCTCGAACTCCTGGCCTCGTGGTCCGCCTGCCTCGGCCTCCCAAAGTGCTAGGATTACAGATGTGAGCCACCACACCCAGCCCAATCTGTCACTTTAACATGTCAACATAATTTTACAATATATCCCTGAAAATTAATAAATGCCATTTAATTTACTACTATACTTACTGCTCATTAGCTGTTAAAGTTGGATCTGAGCAGTATGGCTGCTTGCAGTGGGAACATGGTACCAACCTACTTCATTCCCACCTCAGGACCTTTGTGATGACTGTTTCCTTCACCTGGAATAACCACTCCCCAGATATATCCCCAGTTTGCTCCCTCATCTCATTCAAGTCTCTGCTCAGACATCTCTTCCTCGGAGTCTTCCCCGACCCCCATTTAAATGCTTTCCCTAAGCTCTGATTATATCTAAGTCTAATTATGTCTCAAACAGGTGTTCCGTCATCCTCAGACCCCTTCCCCTTCTTTGTTTTTGTGTATAGCACTTCCATCACCTGACATATTGTATATGTATTAGTTTATTTATTTGTCTATACTCCCCTCCCAAATAGAATGTAACTCCATAAACACAAGGACTTTGTCTGTTCTTGTTCATCACTGTGTTCCCAGTTCCTAGGAAGGTGCTGGGCATATAATAGACACTCACTATTTTTTAAATTAATGTCTTCTCTGATGCAAGTTCTTTAAGGTTTGGTTTGCTGCACTTCTGTGTGATGTGTAATGACATTTATGCCACTGCTTTTCTTTATTTGAACCACGGTGAAACCTTCCACACCATACTGCTTCTTGACTCCTTGGGCCTTCACTTGACATCTACACAAAATGCAAACACAAGCCTTGAAACCAAGCAACAGTACTCATTTATACGGGGGTCATCTGGATGACCCAGATATGCTTGTGTGAACTTCAGTTCACCATTGAAGTTCAAAACAATCAGAGCTGTATAAAAAGCTTTTCAACAAAGCACTCTTCTTTAAATATTCTATGAGAAGTGGCTGTTCATATCCTTTGCCTACTTTTTCATGAGGTCGTTTGTTTTTTTCTTGTAAATTTGTGCAAGTTCCTTGTAGATTCTGGGTATTAGACCTTTGTCAGATGGGTAGATTGCAAAAATTTTCTCCCATTCTGTAGGTTGCGTGTTTACTCTGATAGTAGTTTATTTTGACATGCAGAAGCTGTTTAGTTTAATTAGATCCCAGTTGTCAATTTTAGCTCTTGTTGAAATTGCTTTTGACCTTTACTTCATGAAATCTTTGCTCATGTCCTGAATGGTATTGCCTAGATTTTCTTCTAAGGTTTTTATGGTTTGGGGTTTTATATTTGTCTTTAATTAATCTTGAGTTAATTTTTGCATAAGGTATAAGAAAGAGGTCCAGTTTCAGTCTTCTGCATGTGGCTAGCCAGTTTTCCCAGCACCACTTATTAAATAGGGAATCCTTTCCCCATTGCTTGTTCTTTATCAGGTTTGTTGAAGATCAGATGGTTGTAGATGTGTGGTGTTATTTCTGAAGTCTCTGTTCTATTCCATTGGTCTATATGTCAGCGTTGGTACCAGTATCATACTGTTTTGGTTACTGTTGAAAAAGAAGCTCAAGATCACTGATCATTAGAGAAATGCAAATCAAAACCACAATGAGATACCATCTCACACCAATCAGAATGGCGATTATTAAAAAGTCAAGAAACAGTAGATGCTGGTGAGGCTGTGGAGAAATAGGAATGCTTTTACACTGGTGGTGGGAATGTAAATTAGTTCAACCCTTGTGGAAGACAGTGTGGCGATTCTTCAAGGATCTAGAACCAGAAGTACTATTTGACCCAGCAATCCCATTACTGGGTATATACTCAAAGGAATATAAATCATTGTACTCTAAAGACACATGCACACGTATGGTTTATTGTAGCACTATTTACTATAGCAAAGACATGGAACCAACACAAATGCCCATCAATGATAGACTAGATAAAGAAAATATATACCATGAAATACTATGCAGCCATAAAAAAGAATGAGATCATGTAATTTGCAGGGACATGGATGAAGCTGGGAGCCATCATCCTCAGCAAACTAACACAAGAACAGAAAATCAGACACCGCCTGTTCTCACTCATAAGTGGGAGTTGAACAGTGAGAACACATGGACACAGGGAGGGGAAAAACACACACTGGGGCCATACAGGAGGGTTGGTGGGGAGGGGAGGGAGAGCATCAGGACAAATAGCTAATACATGCAGGGCTTAAAACCTAGATGACAGGTTGATAGGTGCAGCAAACCACCATGGCACATGTATACCTATGTAACAAACCTGCACATTCTGCGCATGTATCCCACAACTTAAAAAATAATACTGATAATAATAATGATAATAAATATACTATGATATAAAATAGTTGCCATTGTATCTTTCTGTGTCATTGAAAAACTAGAAGTTTAAATTCTGCAACTCATATAAAAGTAATTTCCTGGCAGGGAACTGTGAATGATAAATGATAACTATAAAATTTAACACACAAATTTTTCTCAACTTTAATATTGATAGATTTGTATCCCACAGGGGAGCCACAAAAAAACACTGATAGACAAAATTTTAGAAGCTTGTTTTTAAAATGCCTGATCCTAACCTCTCTGTTCCCACATGAGCATTCCTGAAGCTCTTAAGCTTTTCCAGAGATATTCATTTTTTAGACCACTATGATATCATTTAAAACTGTATATTAACATGTCCCCTAAATAGTCTGACAGAATTATTAGAGCTCCTAAACAGGCATGATTTTTTTAAAAGATAGTGTATAGGTCAATGATGCCTTTTTTTTCATTTATTTGGAAAATGACATAAGCAAGTTTCACTAAAAAATCTTAGGTTTTTTACAGAAATGACTGAAAATTGCTTAATATATTTTTTTTTGTTTTATGTAGCATTTCCTCTGAAGAGTTGAAAGTAAAATAATGGGTTAAACTCTTAAATGTCTAAAAGGAGGGAATCCATTAAAAAAAAAAGTTCAGTAGAGGATAAAACAGTCATAACAAGAACAAAAAGATAGAACTATTGGGGGAAACTCTTTAAAAGGGCATCATGTCTTTTCTTCTTGATTTTGAAACTTTTTAATAATTGTTTTTGCTTGAAGTCAAGGAAACCTTTTCATTACTCTTCATGGGCAGCCACATGGGTATCTCTCTAGAGTCTTCACTCATCTTTCTTTCCCCAAATCCTCTTGTTCCTCGAGCTCTACCTTTTATTTTTCACTGACAATTCTTTCTCATCTCTTTTATTCTCTAGTACTGGCTAGAGATTCTCTAATCCTCTCAATATGTTCCATAGATAAACACTTCCCCTTTCACTCATCACATACCTATTTGAGATGAGAACCTGCTATGTCCAGGCACAAAGATGAATCAGAGGTGTCCCCTGTCTTCAAGGAGCTCATAGCTGAGTGAGGTTTCCTGTGCTACATGTGGTCTTGATTTCTATTGCCATATGTACATATGGCTTGTCATACTACCAAATTACAGTCTTCCAGTAAGTATCAACTTTAGTTTAGGTATTTCAACTAGAAATAAGAAATATACTACATTTTTTTCTCTGCTCAAATTTCAAGGAATTTTGAGTTATTAACCACATATTTTCATGCAAATTAGGCCAGAACCACAGAGTAAAACTCAAATAAGGAACAAATATTTCTATCTGCTAAGTATGGGAAGTAAAAAATATGAGTAAAATGATTCTTGCCCTTACAGACCTTACAATCCATACTACTTTCTCTTACTTTGTTTAGCGCTTAAATTAGAAATAATTCTATACTTACTACCTTTTAAAAAGCCATACTTTTTATTTGTCTTGGTTTTAGAGTCCTTTGTCATGGATAAAAGGCTTGAAATGGGGGGAATACGTGGGTTCCCCCAGTGCTCCAGTACCTGTGGTCTGCTTCAGCCAGCCCCACGGAGAAAGATTTGGCTCTCTCCAGGCTCTGCCCACCAGAGCAATCTGTGGTTTGTCACGGAATTTCTGTCTTCTGATGACATATAGCAAGGAACAAGGTAAAATAAAATGTAATGAAGATCATTCTGGATATATCTTTCATGAGATTTGAGTATTTCTAGCTCATCTGTGCTGCTACTTTGAGTCCTTGGTGGAAAAAACTCAGCTCAAATCTGTGGTTATTTAGTACAAAGTGGGAATGAAAACATACTACGTGAAAAAACTGAGAGTTAAATGCAGTGCCATTTGAAATGAGAGGAGGAACTTGAAGGGAACAAGAATAAATGGTTATGTTCACAAAATGAAGGTGTTATCAATTTGACAGAAATGTACACTTTGAGGCTGTTGAGCCCCAGAATAGACAGACATATTTGACCAACAAATCTACCACCTCAGAAGATATAGTCATGGGTTTAAGCAACAAACACAAGAAGGATGTCAAGATAACCTTGAAAATAGGTTTTTTTTTTCTTGTATATATCAGTAGTTTATTGTTTTTATTTTTATTTTTTAAATTTTTTTATTTCTTATTATACTTTAAGTTCTAGGGTACATGTGCACAACATTTGGGTTTGTTATATGTGTTTAAAACACGTGTTCCTGAAAACCAATCCTTTTCTGACTCCCCACATACTGACTCACTAAAAGCAACATGTGGGAAAGTGCTGTACAGTAGAGGCCTCTTCATGTTTCTAAATGTCAACTAGACACTGGAAAACTAGGGACATTTTGCATTTGAGCAGTCCCTCAGCCATTCCAAATTAACCATTTCACTAGAAACAAAAGAATTCTTCCTACTTGCTAGGCATGGATGTGGGGCACCAAAATGAATGACCTAGGGCACTCATCTGTTTCTATCAGGTTATTTGCAGACTTGCCTAAAAGCCAGTGTGTGGACTAGATGCCATTAGCAGCCAGCACTGCTGACAATTACCATTACCTTCTGTGCACTGTGCTCCTTGGGAGCCGTATATAGCCTTCCACCCGAACTGCAATACAAAGGGGCCAGCACCCAGAGAAAACATCATCCTCATACATTATTGTATTGAAATTAGGTATGCTAGCTGGGCCGTAGTTCTTTTAGGCTCACTCTTATCTCTGTCATGAAATGAATGATTGTTTTTATAGTTGTTAGAAATAAGAGAGGATGCATACCGTTTTATCTACATTTAGTGAGTTAATAGGATAAGGTAGATCTGTTTAATCATAATTATTGTGATATCAATGGTTTATTCTTACTAGTATGTTACAATTAGTTATGAGGTAATTTACAAGTAATTTACTAATAATACCAAAGTACCAACATGGGTGAATTATTTACCTTTAAAAAATTAGAGTACAGTAAAATTTCTCTCTGTTGAGCAAAAGAGAAAGAGAGGGTATTATCACTTAGCGTTATGGGACTTAAACATGTCAGACATATTCTAAGCCTGTCTTCTTTGTGCCACTACAGTCATGAACCCTTAGTGTGCCCCTAATAGCTATGTTCATTCAAATTACACTTAATTTCCTCGCACAATGTATTTGGAATTTGTCAGAACCTGGGTATGTCCAGGGCAGTAGTGTAATAGAACAGTTTCCCCCCTGGCCCCGACAGTCACAGTTCCTGAGTTTTGCATCCTTGCCCAGCTGCTTACTAGCTATGTGGCCTTGGGGAAGTTAACTTCGTGCTTTGCAAATCCTGGCTTTTGATCTATAAAGCAGGAATAACAAAATAATTTACCTCACAGGGTACTTTTCTGTAAGGATTCAATACAATAATGTATGAGGATGATGAGCACAGTGCCTGGTTCATTCTAAGTGCTTGATAAATGTTTATTGGTCTGTAAACACCCTAGGGTCTGGAAGGGGTCAGTGTTTACTAGATACACCCAACACTAGACCCAGCAAGGAACAGTCCACATAGACATTCTAGAGAGGCACTGACTGAACAGTGTAGCTTACAGATGAAAGTTAGGTCACTTGTTAACACAAGAGACACACTGCATCAGAATCTCTGGCGCTTGAGTCCAAGCTTATACACTCTGAAAATCAATTTTAGATTCAATTTTAGTAGATCCTATTTAAGATACACTGTCTTAGTAGGTAAAGGAGAAGTTTCTTTTTCTGAAAGAAAAAAAAAAATGATGATGCCTCTTGTGGTTACTGGAATGAGAAACCTTGGTTTATGGAGCACTTGCTGCATGCCAGGCATTATGGTAGGTTTTGAGAGGACTCAAGACTCATGTGGTTCCTTTCCCTAGCAGCTTATATTTAGAGCAGTTTCTATTTAGTGAGTAGATTCCAATTCCTTTGTTGCAAAATGTTGTCAACATTTCTTATTTTACTCAACAAAACAGCTGTGAATTGCCTATTTTCAATATGCTGTTGATTCATTCAAGAAATATTTATTTGTTATACTCATCTACATGCTGGGTATTCTACTGGAATAAAGAAAGCATATTCTGTTTCCTTTAGTAACTTAAAACATTGCAAGTTTCAAGGGCAGTACCATTTACAGCATCTATGCTGCATTTAGCTATATCCAGCATACCAACAAAGCATAGATAGTTAATGGTACTAGGAAATAATATCAAAATTTCCAAATTTTTATGCCAAGAGAACATAATACTATGTTGTAAAAGAGAGAGAGGGCTGGGTGCAGTGGCTCAAGCCTGTAATCCCAGCGTTTTGGGAGGCCAAGGCAGGCAGATCACTTGAGGTCAGGAGTTCGAGACCAGCCTGGCCAACATGGTGAAACCCTGTCTCTACTAAAAATACAAAAAAATTTAGCTGGGCGTGGTGGCAAGCGCCTGTAGTTCCAGCTGCTGGGGAGGCTGAGGTACAAGAATCACTTGAACCCAGGAGGCAGAGGTTGCAGTGAGCCGAGATTGCGCCACTGCACTCCAGCCTGGGTGACAGAGTGAGACTGTCTCAAAAAAAGAGAGAGAGAGAGAGAAGAACAGAGCCTCCTTGAATGAAAGTCTGCCATACACAGTCCTGCAGTTGACAGGATTAAATTATCCCTTCTCAGGGTAGGTGTTGCTTCCACTCTGGCAGTAGTGTCTTCCTGCTACTAACAGTTGTCTATCCTGGGTATCTAGAAAGTTAAATAGTATCTAGTTCATATTTATTTTTAAAAGAAAAGGTGTCTCAGAACATGAGTAGAGTAAGCTTGACTATCATTGTCTTTTATAATAATTTCTTAACAGAAATTTTAGTTCTGAATCAAATAAATCCCAGACAAAACAACACAAGTGAAAAAATGTAATCCCACCCTCAGAATCCTGTTAGCATTAAAGGAATAAAACTAAAAAATTGTTCCATTTTAGAGATATAAAGATGGTTTTGCACCAAATGATATGTTCTGCTATGTAAACTTCACTTTAATCTGCCAGTTTGGGGCTTTCATGTAACAAGGGAGCAGTAACGATCTGATACTTTTCTTTCTCCTTCTCCTTGAGGTGTGAGAAGCATGAACAGTACGGACATTCAGTGGTCAGCCATCCTGAGCTGGGGATATGCTGATAATATTTTAAGGTTGAAGAGTAAACAAAGTGAGCCTCCAGTAAACTTCATTCAAAGTTCACAACAGTACCAGGTAAACATTTTTATTTTTATTTTTATTTTTATTTTGGAGACAGAGTCTTGCTCTGTCGCCCAGGCTGGAGTGCAGTGGCGTATCTCGGCTCACTGCAAACTCCGCCTCCTGGGTTCACGCCATTCTGCCTCAGCCTCCCGGGTAGCTGAGCCTACAGGCACCCGCCACCATGCCCAGCTGATTTTTTGTATATTTTTAGTAGAGTCGGGGTTTCACTTTATTAGCCAGGATGGTCTCGATCTCCTGACCTCATCATCTGCCCACCTTGGCCTTCCAAAGTGTTGGGATTACAGCTGTGAGCCACTGTGCCTGGTCAACATTTTTTTTTTTTTTAATTTTAGACAGAGTGTTGCTCTGTTGTCCAGGCTAGAGTGCAATAGCACAATCTCAGCTGACTGCAACCTCTGCCTCCCAGGCTCAAGTGATCCTCCTCCCTCAACTTCCCAAGTAGCTGGGACTACAGGTGCGTGCCACCAAGCCTGGATTATGTTTATATTATCTGTGGAGATAGGGTTTCTCCATGTTGCCCAGGCTGGCCTCAAACTCCTGGGCTCAAATGATTCACCCGCCTTGGCCTCCCAAAGTGCTGGGATTACAGGTGTGAGCCACTGTGCCTGTCTTTTGTAAATGTTTTTGTGGAATCTTTATAATAGTTAAATACAATGCATAAAAATGAGTCAGACTGGCCGGGCACAGTGGCTCATGCCTGTAATCCCAGCACGTTGGGAGGCCGAGGCGGGCAGATCACCTGAGGTCAGGAGTTCAAGACCAGCCTGGCCAACATGGGGAAACCCCTTCTCTACTAAAAATACAAAAAAAAAATTAGCCAGGCGTGGTGGCGCATTCCTGTAATCCCAGCTACTCGGGAGGCTGAGGCAGGAGAATCGCTTGAACCCAGGAGGCAGAGGTTGCAGTGAGCCAAGATCACGCCATAGCATTCCAGTCTGGGCAACAAGAGCGAGACTCCGTCTCAAAAAACAAAACAAAACAAAACTGATAGCAGCTAGCTTGGTTGGTTGGTTGGTTGGTTGGTTTTGAGATGAAGTCTCACCCCATCACCCAGGCTGGAGTGCAGTGGTGTGATCTGCGCTCACTTTAACCTCTGCCTCCCAGATTCAAGCGATTCTCTTGCCTCAGCCTCCCAAGTAGCTGGGACTACAGGCATGTGCCACCATGCTTGGCTAATTTTTGTATTTTTAGTAGGGATGGGGTTTCACCACGTTAGCCAGGTTGGTCTCAAACTCCTGATCTCAGGTTAATCTCCCGCCTCAGCCTCCCAAAGTGCTGGGATTACATGCGTGAGCCACTGTGCCCAGCCAAGCAGCCAGTTTTTAATATCCTGCAACTTGTCCAGTCAAGAAGCTGATGTTAAGCTGGGCGTGGTGGCTCACACCTGTAATCCTAGCGCTTTGGGAGGCCAAGGCGGGCAGATCATCTGAGGTCAGGAGTTTGAGACCAGCCTGGCCAATATGGTGAAACCCCATCTCTACTAAAAAATACAAAAATTAGCCACGCGTGGTGGTGGGCACCTGTAAATCCCAGCTACTCGGGAGGCTGGGGCAGTCGCTTGAACCTGGGAGGCAGAGGTTGCAGTGAGCTGAGATCGTGCCATAGCATTCCAGCCTCGGCAACAAGAGCAAAACTCCATCTCAAAAAAAAAAAAAAGAGAGAAGCTGATGTTTATAGTACTTACAGACTTCCTAACTACCACTATTTGTGTCCCCCAAATTTGTTTTCTACCCATTTTCTCATTGAGAGAGTATAATCATAATCTCCTACTCAACATCAGTAAAGGGCATAGTGTTTGAACCAAATCAGCATTGCCTTCTTCTCAGTGTTCACTCACCTTTGTCATTAAGTCATTTTCTGTAACCATAGTGCCATCTTTTATACCTGATTTTTCCTAAATGGACTGGATATTCAGGCATCATGATCACTGGGCCTATAGCCCTGTGATCTTTGTTAGTGTCCCAGCTTTGTTATATACTAACTACAGCCTTTGACTAGTAACTTAACCTCTCCAAACTTGAGTTTCTTTCCTCCTCATTACAACCAAGATAATAGTACTCATACTACTTTCTCAGAAAGCTGCTGTAAAGTGTTTCCAGTGTTTGTGAAAGAAACTTGTAAACTGTAGAATACCGTGTAAATATACAGTACTGCTGCTGAACTGTTACTGACTCTTAATTGTATGGACAGCCTTCTTTTTTGACTCTCTTTCCATGGGAAGTTCTCTTACCATCCTCTGATTTCCATTACCTACATAACACCTGCTGCCTTATCATCTGTCCTAAAATGTATCCCATTCCCTGAGCTCTTTAGAAATGGAGGAAGCTACTTAGGGGAATTTTTAGCAGTGAAAGCAAGAGGAGCAGTGACTTGTTTGCATAACCCTCAATATCCCTGACCCAAATATCACCACCATTTGTTTATAGCTTACCAGGAAACTGACGGAAGTAAGAATAAAGAGACAGTGAAAAACAACTTTACTAGGAACTTTAATAAGATTTTTTTTTTTTTTAGTTTTGAAACATATCAGGCTGCATTAATCAGAGCCTTTTTATGCAGATAGAAATATATATATGCAAACACAAACAAGTTATAACCATAAATCATGGCAAGGCTGGTAATAAAACTAAATTGGAAATGAATCTACAAAATAAATGAAAACACAAAAACGTATTATAGAATCAGTATGTCCCTTACTGCACCCTTTTTGGGATTATTGTAAATTGGGAAAAACAGAAATATGTACAGTGGGAGTTAGATATACAATACATTCTACCTGTCAAAATACATTGACATAAATTTGTGAGCAGATTTATTGCTGTCATCAATAATCTGGATTTACAAACATCTTGACTTTCCAATGAAAAGTGAAGAAAAATAAATGAAATCATCATCAGTATTAACTGAATGTTTTCAATGCAATGTTAAAGATACAAGCTTTCAATCAAATTCTTTCCACCGTTAATTACTAGGCATTCCTTCTATTTAAGAGTTGGGTGCTGTTACATTAGATTGATGTGTTGGGAAGAGAGGACAAAGATAGACAGATAACTTTGAAGAAGCTTTCCAATTCACTAATATATTTTCACCAGTGCAAAGACAAGCATTTAGTCAAATTGTTTTTGCCAAGTAAATTGACTATTAGTTTAGCAGATCCAAAGCTTGAATAAAGTTGTTTAAAATTCTTTTTATTTTTTTCTAGCTTTATTGGAATATAATTGACAAATGAAATTGTATATATTTAAGGTATACAGTGTGATGTTTTAATATATGTATACATACATTGTGAAATGATTACTACGGTCAGGCTAATTAACACATCCATCACCTCACATAGTTAGCATTTTTATGTGTGTGATGAGAATATTTAAGATCCACTATCTTAGCAAATTTCAAGAATACAACACAGGGTGGGGGTCAGCTGGTGTGGAAAAGAGGACCTGTCAGGCCACACAGAAAATTAACTCAAACCTGAATGGTGCCTCTGTGGTTAGGACAGGGATTTTGTACCAAAGGCATAATCCCATCTTTTACATTCACATTTATCTTTCTTTCTTCTCCTGCTTAACAATCTTTACAACTATTAGAAGCAATCCCTCTATTTATATGTACCCTGTTTCCCCACCAAAGACATAAAATGAGGAAAATAAAAGCAAAAAGCAAATAAATGTGTGAAGTACACACACATTCACACTCAAGCTTGGATTTAATCAATCCTGAATCATTGTGTTAAATTTATCTAAATATATATACATATATACACATACATCTACACACAGGCGCGTATACACAGTATAATATATTTTAATTGGGAAACAACATTTCGACATTTGGCTCAAAGTTACAGAATATTATTATATCTGACACGTTTCTAACTGTTTCAAGAAATGTTTACCTAACATTTTTGAGATTAAAAAAAAATAGTTGTCAGAAAAGTAGAAGTATTTTTCATTCTTTTAAAACATGATAATCTTTGATTTGTCCTTTTTCAAAGGTTACCAGTTGTGCTTGGGTGCCTGACAGTTGCCAGCTGTTTACTGGAAGCAAATGCGGTGTCGTCACAGCCTACACAAACAGATTTACAAGCAGCACGGTAGGTTCTGGGCTTTCTGTGTGGGTAGTATGGGACTTTGTCAATGAAGGGAAGAAAACCTTTATGAAGTATAATTCATTTTGCATAAGATTAACTTAAAATGTTTATACCTTAATCTTCTCCCTACATTAGGTCTTAAAAATCTTTAGGGTTTATTAGAATCATGAAAAATCTTGAAAACAATTGTAGTAGTCCTATTTTTTTTCAGAGACAGTATTTTGAGTTATGATCTGTTTTGTATTTAGGCTTTTAAATGACATTTGGTGCTTACCTGTATTTGCGATATCAACCTGAATGCTTAGGAGTATACTGTAAGAGTCTATCAGTTTGAAAGCTTAGAAACCCTAATGTCCAACATTCCATTACCCTCTGGGTAAACTAAATGACAGCTTAAAATCGTTAGTGAGGTCTTGGTCTGATTTTACCCTGACTGGAAGTAAATTTGATTATGCTTTTTAGCCATTCCACTGAACTGTCCCAGATTTTAGAGTTGAATCATAAAACGAGGGAAGAAAATAAGGGACAGATTATAGCAATGCTTCCTTTTATTTTATCGGTTTTGGTGTGATTGTTTTGTTTTGTTTTTGTTTGTCTTTTTTTGAGACAGGTGAGGCCTGCCCTCTGGTTGCTAAGCTGAAATGCAATGGCACCAATCTCGGCTCACTGCAAACTCTGCCTGCCCAGGTTTCCACATCAATTCGTCGTGTTCTCAGCCTCCTTCCAAGGTCTAGATCATACTATGCTATGCTGCCACTCCCTTTTGTTTTCACGCTTTTCCGTTTAATTTTTTATATTTAGTATTGGTTGTTTTCATGTTGGCCAGGTTTTTTTGAACTTCTGGCTTCAAGTGATCCTACGCTCTTTGTCCTCCCAGAGTGTTGGGTTATTTCAATATGAGCCAGCATGTTTTC